AAGTGCCAAACATGGAGGAAGAGAACAACAATCCACTGAGCCAACATTCATATCAGAGGCTCAAATTCCCAACAGGGTGTACATATCACATAACAATACATTAAATTCTGTCACAGCAGCTCAGTTTCTGTGACTGTACATTCAAGCAAAACATAAACACTGACACAGGTGACGTATACACACAGAGTATGTGCAAATCCAACTGAGAAGAATTTATGTTATGAGAGAGTAAGAGGGAGAGAGTATTCAGAGAGTAATTACAAAGGACACCTTGAAGCGCGGCTGTGAATTAAACTTTTTATAATCCTGCCTAAGCAGTGAATTTCCACGAAGACCAATATTCCAGTATTAATCCAAATATTGCTTTATTAATCCAAATGAGACAATAGAGCTCTCTGATTAAAACATTATGTAAGCTGCTTACCAGTTTATCATTTTCAAATTAAAAGCCTTCCACTGAAACAGGCAGTATGTGTGTAGCTAGAGGTGCTATGTTTCTGCTACTTCACCAGTTTCTCCCAACAGAAACAGCAAAGGGATACAACATTAAAAGGAAATTCTGAATATCTGTTTATAAGGGACCTTTAATTAGATAAAAATACAAATGATATAGATCCAGGGATATTAATGAAGCATGGGTTATAAACCACACAAGCAGCTCGCTCAAGTACTATCTTTTTCAGAATGTAACTGGAATATTGTGTGCATGCACTGTTAAATGAAAATCCTGTCTGTGGAAGTATTTTAAAGAAATCTGTACGCTTTCAAATTAGATCCTTTAAGAAGACTTTGTTTAGGCTCAACTCACTTTTTTTTCTATCTTTTTTTATATACTTATAAGATAACAGAATTTAGCTATTCAAAGTAAATCACGGTAATCCTTGACAGATAGGCACACTGATGGTTCAGGACAGAAACCGATTGTTTTCTACTTGCAAGTATCAGTATGCTACGTCTCTGAGTGTAACTCTCTGAAAGAAATGTTATACAAATGACCTTGTTATGTCACACCACAAGTGTTTTCTCTACTTTAAATGTATTAGAGGAATGTTACAGCTCTCTTCCGCCATGTATTTGGCACTTTAAGATGTGCAAAGACCCAGGTCAGTGTGTAATATTGTGTATTATTGTAAACTTTACTGTAATTGTCGAATTGTCTGATTTTAATCTTGCTTTAGGACTTATCATGTGTTTTTTAAAGAAAACAATGGTGTTATTATAATTCCTATGGTGTTACATGTTTTTGTTTGCATTCTTAAGATAAGCCAAGTGGAAATACTCATTGTCACAGTAGTAAAAGTATTTTCATATTGAGTATAAATACAGTACATGGGAGTGTGTTTTTATTCTGAAAGAGCAAGACAGACACGGAGGAAAGGAGGCAGAAAAACAAACATTTGGGGAAATATCAATGCAATGGCTATCATTTAGTTAATAGTTAAGTGCTGTTTCAAATACTTACAGTATTCCACAAATTGTATGAATCATACCATAATACCATACATGCTATAGTCTATACAAAACAGAGGAATGAAATTATCGCTTTATTTACTGGGAGTCAAAGTGATCCATGTGATCACGTGTCTTTGAACCCACCCAACATCTCACTTCCTCAGTGCATGGATAGTTTGAATAAAGGTCAGTCTGAAATTGTGCTCAGGTTAAAGAGGATACCACAAATACAGGACAGACTGCAGCAGTTTCCACTCAGAGCAAGGCATCCAATGCTGAATCCATCTGAACTTTCCAGCAACAACAACAGGGTCAAAACTTATCAAGAGATACATTTTCAGTCATTAAAAAAAAAAGAGAAAAGATTTTGGAACAATATTCCCAATCTTTTACTCTCTTCAACAGCATATGCTGACTCACACTGAAACAAATCAGCCACGATGTACACAAGTCTTAAAAAAATAAAATAAAATCCTCCTGCAGCCTCTCCACCACCAGCTGTGTCTCTGATAAGCTAGCCTGAGAAAGACAAATGAATGAGGAAGGAACAGACTGACAGAGTTTATTAAAAAAAAAAAAAAACGCAGGGAGAAAAACTTGCCTATTTGTTTTAACACTGTTTTGGTGTTGCATAAAGGGAGAGAAGGAATTTGTGCAGAGTTTAAAATGTTTATGGGGCAAAATAAAATTGGTCATTTTGAATCAAGAGAGAAAATATGTGATATAAATATTTGATATAAATTTAACTAGGTTAAGTTAATTACATCAAATAATTAACTAACTGGAAAATATTTGATTAAAACAGAGTCTGTTACAAATCAAGGAAATGTAGTTTAAGTCTGGTCTGCTGATAAAGGTCATGGAATACGGTAGAAAGCTCTGGGAACAGCTTCATAAATGGATCTTTTAGAATATTTACCACAGAAGTGTTCAATAGTTCATGTCACATATTTCTCATGGTTGTATCTAAAAAGAAAAAACTATGACACACTTGTAAAGTCTATTTTTTTAGGTAATCCCTATGCATCACCTAAATTTATCAATAACAATGTGATTAAAAAACTGAATAATAAACAAGAAGAACCATCTTAACAAACATGGGACATTTAAGTGGCTTGTTTAGGACATTCTCAGCTAATATAGTATGATCAGAAATAAAAGTTAGTCCTTCCAGATCAGTTTCTTTCATGCTCAAAGTTTTTAATAATTTCTTCCTCATAATTTGATCAGTGGTGCACATTAGGCTGCTTGTGACCACTAGCATGTGCCTTATAGCACAGTTTGGTACATTACAGAAAATCACAGCCGTGCTTTCAAAGAAGCAATCCAGTAGACCATCTGTTGTAACAGTCACCATGTTTAATTTGTTTACAGAGTTGTGCATGTTGTCAACATTTAGCTCCAAAACATCACTCAAATATTACATTGAACATTCGGGTTTGAATTTCATTCTAATGAGAGATTGTTGGGGCAGGAACAAGAATCACAGCATGTGTGTCAGTGGATTAATTTGTGGAATTCAAGCAGGAAGTTGTGAGCTGCGTATTTAGAGTTCAGTAACCCTGCAGTCAGACATACTAATGTCAGAAAATCAAAAAGACTTTGTTCCTTTTAATTCCATTAATTGTGCCCCTCTGCTTCAGCCTCTGTGCTGTCTACTTCAATCATAAAGTTCAAAGTGTGACAAAAGGAGCTCTTGCACAACCAGTTTCTGTTGACAAAAAGATAAGCACATGTGGACTGAATGTCATACTGAATAGGACACTGTCCTATTCAGTATGACATTCAGTCCACATGTGACATTCAGTATTCAGACATTCGAAGACAGAGTTACAAAAACCGGATGCCATTAAATTTACCATAAAATTGCATTTTTAGGGTAAAACTGCTGACCCAGTTTAGACTTTATATTCATCAGTGCACATGAGTGCGTACAGGCTGCAGCAACTCAAGGGTCATATTTTGCCTGAAAATAAGGTAAGCACAAAACTTATAATAATAAATATATAATAAAATAGAAGGTTTTTGATTAAACAGACTAAATGCAAAGTGATATAGAATTATGTTACCATATACCAAATTACATACATGAACTCTGTGGCTGAGGTGATACTATGTGAGACGTGAGAGAGGCAACAACAGGAGGAGTCAATAGTCTAGTCTAGGGGACAGTATTTTTATGTCATTTGATAATCATGAGGATTTATAGTATTTCAAATTTCAATAAATGGCATACCCTTAACAAATCTACATAAAACAACATCAGCAACAGTATGTGTGATACATTGTTTCATATATTCTTTTTCTCAGGTGAAGGTTCTTTAAATGTTTAACTTTTTACTAATGATAAAGGGACCAGAATGCACAGTATTAAAATTTACATATAAATCAAAAATAATCTTGAATGCCAAATTTTATCTTAGTATTTGACATAGTGATTGTCTGAAAACTTTGACAGAGCTGTCCTACATACATTTTAGATGTATTTATTTTGCTAAGTTGGAATAAACTGCCAAAGATAATTAAACATTGTGTGAACTCAATGTTGCTTTAAAAAAAATAGCCCAGTATGCTTTTTGCCAGTACTAAAAAAAGTAATGTGTGGAACTTTTAATATTGTGGTCTAATGTGATTGCTTCTGAATCATATTATCCATTTATAATCTTACTTTCTTGGTTTTTAGATCACAGCAATGGCAGGCTCACCTAGTCCTCTGACCACCCATGTGCTCAACACTGCGATGGGTGTCCCTGGTTCTAACATGGCCCTCAGTCTCTATCAACAAGACCCCTCCACTAATGCTTGGAGTTTGATAACCACTGGGTAAAAACCTGAGGACAATGGCCAAACACAAAATATCACACACATAGTCACAGTGAAATCTTCATTACTGGACAATGTATGTCTTTGTTCACAGGTCTTCACTCGTTTTTTGTCTCAACAGGACCACCAATGATGATGGACGCTGTCCAGGGCTCATCACAAAACAAACGTTTACATCTGGTGTGTACAAAATTCGTTTTGAGACTGCTCAGTACTGGAAGAGTATTGGAGAGACCAGCTTTTACCCGTATGTTGAGGTGAGGAAATGTTATGTGTTGATATCCTCAGCTGCAATTCTCGGGCATACTGCTGCTATTTGTGTAAAGAGATCAGTGAATTTGTCTCATATGCATGATACTGTTAATGATCTTGAGTATCAGTCTCATTTGTAATTGGTGATCTCCTTCATGTTTGTTGTTTTGTTGCAGATTGCCTTCACTATAAATGACCCTGGCCAAAAATACCATGTCCCTCTTCTCCTGAGTCGTTTCTCTTACAGTACGTACAGAGGGAGTTAGAGATAAAGCAAGATGAACCTCCTGAGGCTGCCTCCATCTATCAGCCATCTAACACATCACAGGCAGAGGCAACTCCACCAAGAACATTCATCTCAGCACCAGCTGAACTGTCACGCCAACTGACAAGACACAATGCTCCATTTAGTTGATTCTTCCATTTCAATACTGGTGTTATTATCACTACAACTTTTGCAATTAAACATTAACCTATCAAATAAGGTGTTTACTGTCAAATGTGTTTTCTTTTGTAATCATGCATGTGAATCCATCTGCATCAATCTTTTTTCTCAATTCAAATTTTGTATAAATACCATTAACTACAATCTAATAAGTGTAGACAAAAAAAGCCCTGTCAGTTCCAGTTACTGGGAAGGCCATTCCCCAACAGCACTACATTTTCGTCAAAATATTAATTAAATGGGGATCTATATGCATATATAATAATATATATGATAACGTATACAGGTACAATATAATGAGCATTTGTTTTATATATTGCTACAAATATAAATGTGTCAAGTACGAGCACAACTTCCTCTTCTGGTGTGAGCCTTGTCTCTGTGCTCGATTGCTCTGCCCTGAGCGCTGGATCGGTTTTGTATCGAAGTTGATTACACTCCCCTGAGCTAGGTAGGGCCTTGCCTCTGATGGGAGTTGAGAGTACATTATACCACGTTACATTATCCATTTTTTTTCTGTCTTCGGTCTAAACTACTTTGGTAAACCATGGCGGACGACGAGTTGGAGGCCATTAGGCGGCAGAGAATGGCGGAACTACAGGCAAAACACGGGGTGAGGACCAAACGTGAGCCGGGAAGCGTGTTAGCCTTATAAGGAGCTGCTGCTAGCCAGGGTAGCTAAAGCAGTCACCGCAACATAACTACAGTGTCCCTCGGGTTGTGAGCACCATGCTCAATGTAAATGAACTGTAATAAACTCAGTAGTTAAAGACATTGATCACAGTAATAAGCAGCGTCAGCTCACTGGCACTGCTGGCTTTATTTGGACCAGACAGCGCACACCCCTCTGATAATGATGACAGCGTTAGCTCAGCACAGTTAAACAAAGGGTTATTATAAATGGCCATATATTAAGTGTAAGGACAGATACACAAGTAGACAATAGACTGGTGAGCTTAGTTGGGGTTTAATATTGTCTGCGATGATCTGTTGTTAGTTCTTTGTTCAGTGAAAAGGCGGGACGGTTTCATGAAGTATTTCTTTAATGTCACTATAATGGGCTGAACAATGACCAAACAACAAAGATGAACTACTTTCTTATATGACAGTAATACATATGTATTTATACTTGACCTAAACCATGACATTGTTGCGTCCTGTATCAGTAAAATGAGACAATGTGTCTTTGTTGGAGTCGATTTCAATCAGTGCTGCACACACAGTCCGTTTACTGGAGCTCAGTCTTACACACAGCTCAGATTGGATTGGATGGACCAGCATTCTGTACAATAATAGCTGATCACACATACTTTCTGTCAGGATTTGTTCTTTACAGTATATGTAAAAAAAATATTTTTACCACTTTTATGTTTAGAGTCTGTATTAAATGTCCTGTCTGTAACTTTGTGTTGTATTGGTGATGGTCCTGTTTGAGACCCTGTATTCGAATGAGATTACCTGTTTGGTTTATGTAAGGCTAATACATTAAATATACAGCTATCAGTGTATATACTGGCAGATGAGTAACAAGACATTGTAGTACAGAGAGGCCAAATATATTTGAGGTAATTTGGAAACATTGTCACTGTTACATTGTTCTGACAAGTTTGCTTTGGTATTCTGTGTTTAACCCAATACATATCTCTTGTCAGTACAATTCTTAATCACTAAACTCTGTATCAAAAATGTGTTTTAATATCATATGCTTATGTTAAAAAAGAATTATATTAGCTTGTATATTGTTATAGGATTTTGTCTTATTAAATATTGAACTGTGTCATCCTCAGTAATCCATTATTGGTTTTGCTTTAGTGCTTAGGGCTCTTGATCCCTTCCTCTCCCCAGCTTTCAGTTCTTGGACCAAACAAGACGTTTTCACAGACTTTAAACATCCGACATTCAGTGTAAGAAATATTAGAAGATAGGAACTAAAAACCAGAAAAGTTAATAATAATAATAAACCTTTTCGTACATGTATAACAGACATTAATATATAGCTAACGAACTTCCAGATGTTAAGTGGGTAGATAAAATATAGTAAAGCATGACAACAGGACTCTCGAGATGTCACTTTGCTACAACTGTGCTCATTGTCATCAGACCTGGTCCTCATGAATAGTGTCTGACATGAGCACTGTTAACTGTTGCCTAGATACTGACACACAGCAGATGATGGTCTTTCATCAAATTTCAATAAATCTGTCGTCAAACATTACGCTCTAGTTGTGGTTGAAGCTTTGTTTCATAAAACTCTAGTTTGATCAAATAATCAAACTGATCTTGACACTGACACATATTTTGACAGTTATTAAGGTAGTTTGTGAGGCCATTACCAGAGTTAATGGCTGGTATGATGAAATCTTTTCCTTATTAGACTATACATCCCCAAGTTGGTTGAATGCAGAAATACAACCTATATGTGATTGTGCTGTCTCACATATGTTCTTATAGGATGCTTCAAATAATCAGCAGGGAGAGGAGGCCAAACAAAGGTATGATATGATCATTCATTTTAAAGCATGCAAGTATACTTGTATACAGTACAGTTTCTTTATTACTAAAATAAATAGACTTCAGGGTCCAGTGTGTAGGATTTAGTGCAATCTACTAGTGTAGTTGCAAATTGCAACTCCTGGCTGCAAAAAACACCCCTATTTAGAGCCAG